CACGCATCCCTACAGCCACTCACCAGCGCCGCTCTCTTAGGGCTGACAGGCATAAGGCAGGTCAAATCGATGCTCACTTATGGTTTTTCGCCAACTTTGGCCAGTAATATAGCTGTTTTCTGGGCCTACAGAGCTCTGATCTGCGATTTTTTTGCTAGCTGGTGCTCCTTGAACTGGCCAAGAAAGTCTGGCAGTTGCGCAAGCAGCCCTAGTAGCGCCAGCAGCGCACGCAGAGAGGCGCAGAGCTAAGCCAGAGGGATGTAGCTGGCAAGTGAGTCGGCAAGCAAGCAGCAGACTATGACATCACATGGACGTACAGTATTGCGTCATTGATTGTAGTGATCAGCTTTGATGTACGGTGGATGTTTGAGCTATTGTAGGTGGCTACAACAGCCATTCAAGCTACTGTAGCTGCATCCAGTGAGCACAGAGCTTTGATGTAGTATGAGGGCTGTTTGAGCTCCCATAGAGGTGTACGGTATGCAGAATGAGGTACCGTAGGTCAGTACGGTGACTACAGAGCATTGATGTAGTATGACGGTTGATTTGAGCTACCATAGGGGTGTACAATATGCGTAAGGAGGTACCGTAGGTGACTACAGTGACTACAGAGTGTTGATGTTGTACTGCGGTTGATTTGAGCTACCGTAGGGGTGTATGGTGACTACAGAGCATTGGTGTAGTACGGCCGTTGATTTGATCTACCGTAGGGGTGTACGGTATGCATAGGCAGCTAACGTAGATGGGTACAGTGAACACAGAGCTGTGATGTGGTACAATGGGTGTTTGAGCTACCGTAGGGGTGTACGGTATGCGTAGGAAGCAACCGCAGGTGCATACAGTGAACACTGCGCTTTGATCTAGTACAACGAGTGTTTGATCTACCGTAGGGGTGTACGGTATGCATAGGCAGCTAACGTAGATGGGCACAGTGACCACAGAGCTGTGATGTGGTACGATGGGTGTTTGAGCTACCGTAGGGGTGTATGGTATGCGTAGGGAGCAACCGTAGGTGCATACAGTGAACACAGAGCTTTGATGTAGTACGGCAGTAGATTTGAGCTACCGCAGGGGTGTACGGTACGCGTAGGGAGCTACCGTAGGTATGTATGGTACGCATAAGGAGTTACCGTAGGTGAGTACGGTGACTACGGAGCATTGATGTAGTATGGCAGACAACAGGTGTTTGAGCTACCGTAGGTGGTTACAACAGCCATTCAAGAACACAGACCTTTGGTGGAGTACAATGGGTGTTTGAGCTACCATAGGTGTGTACGACAGCCATTGGAGCTACCGTAGGTGCGCACAGTGACTTGAGCTACCTGGGTGGGTGTGGTGACCACAGAGCATAGTATGGAAGGGGTTTTGAGCTACCGTAGATGGGTACGGAGCGTGGTTTGAGTCACCATAGATCACTGTAGTACAGCAGTCAACTTGGCAGTGACAGTAAT